TTGGCAATGTATTAATACCTGTTCTATGTTCTCCACAGTACTCACATTTTCCTGTATTATGTTTTCCAAAAATAAATAATGTTTTGTTTAACCCTGCATGTCCTAATCTGAGCCTTGATAGAACGGTTTCCTCCCTTCTSTTTCTTCCAGTACTCCTCATTTCTCCTGTTTACCGTTGAATTCTATAAAACCATSTCCCTTTTCTTTCYTTCTCCCATTGTTTTTGCCRTTTTCTCTAATTTTTAGCTTTATGATACTTTAATTTCTGTTTTACTGAATTTTATTTCCATTTCAGCTACATTGTTTTTGGTAGTATATTTTGCTATTTTGTCTGCTTTTTCATTTCCTATTATTCCTATGTTTGCTGGTACTGAACTTCATCTGTCCTTTGCCTGAAGACCATGATGGTGGATGCAGTTCCATGATGAGTCAAATGAGTCCAGCATGAATCAAGCTTACAGAAGATTTCTGCTCTTAAGATTTGAACAGTCCTGCAGAAAATCTTTCTTCTGACAAACGATGGCTGCATTTTCTCACATGCAAGTATTTTATCCATGTACAGTCAAAGTGCATGTACTGTTAATAATTTACTGCAAGCCTTTTCAATTACAAGTGTTTGATCATGTGTGACTGGTTAAATTTATATATACTTTATCCAAACCAGGGGTTTGTGTGCACGGACGTTAAACAAATACTTGACCCCTCTATGAATCTTGTGGACTTTCAATGGCCCCTTACTCAGAAATATCCTGCCATGATTGCATATTGATTATAAAAAGTATTCTAAACATCTTAAAAATGTATATACAGTATGTGGAGTGCATTTTAAAAGATGGAACTCATATACAACACCTGGACCTGAGATGGAACACTTATAGAACACCTGGACACTTGTCCAACTCTGACCCCTATTGGAGACTCTTAGGATTGCAGCTGTCGTACATTACAGCAGATCATTTTAAATCACTTTATATTCACTGTTTTACAGTGTTTTTCTGCACACACTGATAATCTACAGTTTAATGTGTTTTCTCTTGTAAAACTAGCAGCTGAGTCTGTTTCCTTGGATCAGTCTATACACTCATCTTTGTGGTTTCCCTTGTTTTTATTACAGCAGCTCTAACAGAAACCAGACTCAGTGAACTGGAAACATCTGGTTTCTCCATCAGCTTCCTGTTCACCTGAGAATTGATTTTAAGATTTTATTGATGGCTTTTAAAGTTTTTAAYGGTCCGGCCCCATCAYAGTTCTGTGATCTTCTTAACATAAACAAATAAATTTGACATTGGTTTCATGTGTGTAAAGAACACCTGAGTTACTGCAGGTATCTCGCTGAAAATACCACAAAAACAAACTGAATCAATCAAAATACTGTCCAATTTGTAACATTATGAAAGTAATAAACCAGCAGGAGTCAAGAAGCCTTTTTCAGAAAACATTTCATTTCACATCAACTTTCAGTTTTTTTGTGACAAACAGCAGAAGTTGTGTCGTTTCAATCTGACTTCTGAGAAACATTTGGCCGTAAAAGTCCAGTAAACACATCATAGATCTGTAACTGTAAGGGATATAAAAATAACTTTACACAAATAAAACTTGCAGTCGACCAGCAACTGCAGAGGAATAAAAACACATTAAAAAGTTTCTCTTTTTTTTTTTACTTATTTAATAAAAATTGTAACCGTATAGATTTAATCTGAGTCTGCTCTCGGTGGCGAACAGTGACTGGTTCCTTTTAAAAAGCGTCGGGGAAACAGCAGTTAAAGGTTAAATTATTTTATTTTTTCTGAGCTCTGCTGAGAAAACGCCTGACTGGTCCAGTTTCCCTCCAGTCCAACCAAAACCAAACATTCCCCAAAGCAGATTTAACTTTCTTTCTTTGGCTGCATTTGAAATGTTCAGTCATTATAAGGTAGACTAAAGACGGGACGGTGTGGGGTTTTAACAGAAGCAGATGTTCAAAAACCAGTAGACACTTTTCTGCTTTGATGGAACCTCTCTGGATGTGGAAGCTGCCCATGCTAGATGCTTTAATGCACCCCAATACCATCAGAGAGGCAGGCTTTAGAGCTGTGCCGATACCATAATGTAGCTCCTCTTTGGATTCTGAGATCATAAACTGGAGATTAAAAATCTTACCAGTGCTGGGAACGGTTGCGCTACTCCGCTAATAGCAAAACTAGCTTCTCATTTAGAGGATAAGCTTTTTTTGCTAACTTTGTAAACCATTATTAGCTTCTGCTAAATTTGGTTCTGTTTATTTTAAGTCCACTAAAAATGTTTCTATTTAATTACGATAAACTTCTCTTTTCACGCAGTTTAATACAAATTAAATAAAAACTATCCTCTCTTACAAGCAGTGCTGGACATGTGTATTAGCATGTAGCATCTTAAGCAGCTAAACTCCAAACAAAGAGCATCAAAAAGGAAATATTTAAAAAATAATATAAAAACTGACAACATATAAAATATAGAAAAAATATTTGTTGTTTGATTATTTTCAAATGATAATTATAAAAATACAAACTTAACAAAGTATTACAGGTTAGATGGAGATATATCTTTATTCTAAAGATTATCTGTGGATCAAAACTAAAGCGTTCCAGTAGAAGAACACTAGCAGTTAGCATTTGCCGTCACTAATTTATCATCTGTTTGGCAGATTAGTGCTAGCAGAGCTAAGATTCTTGTTCACTGSATTTTCTGTTCAACTGTGCCCACCACTGACAAAAATATAAGTTTTGGGTGTTTTAAATAAAATTCAGCTTCAGAAAAGTGAACAGATCCTGTTTTTGAGACAAAAAGCTTTGATTGAGTTTAAATGGATACAAAAATAAATAAATAATATTAATAAAACATAAAAAATATGGTAGAGAAAGTACGTGTTATATGACGACCTTCAAACTGTACTTATAAAAATACAAATTTGATCAAAGAAATGCTTTTGTTTTTAAAAGAATATAACTCTGGTTTGGATTGGTCAATTTGACACAGACGATCCCGCCTACCTTCAWATTCAACCAATAGAAAACTAACAACAGTTTTGTTTTAGTCCCATCAGTCTTCAACTGGAAGGAGATGAAGACTGATAGTCGTCTTAGCGGTTAGCGTTAGCTTYCATTAACTTTTTTAGCTTTTTAGCGTTAGCAGAGCTTAGATTCTTGTTTAGTGGATTACTGGTCAGTGAAGCTAACTTTCTGCATAGCTGTGCTCACCACTGGGTCTTACTACYATTTAATGAAGGAAATTTATTCTGAAATAGTTCTACGGTTGTTAGCATTAGTGTAGCTTAGCTTATCATGTCGGCTCAGAGCTAATTGGACCAACGCACATATTCCAGGGGACTTTACAGTGATCGAGTGGACAGTTCAAACGCAGCCTTTGTCTTTAAAGGGATCCACGATTAGTTGTAACATTAAAMTTTATTTGATAAACATTTATTTTAACTGTAAAATAAAGACTAAAAATAATGTAGGATGTTTAGTTTTTATAATTTTTAAACTAAAAGTTTAAAAATATATTACAAGGACAGGTCCACTTTATTTC